CAAAGGACCTACTCTGCATCTCACATATCATCATCCTGGAATAGTACTAATTGAACATTTATTTGTTGAGTATAGACAATACATTAAGTGCAGTCAAACACACCAAAAACTGCAAACAAATTTATGCAGTCAAGCCCACTGTTAACAATGAGATTTCGCTCCCAATTGAGGCCGGAAAAGCAGTTCGTGTATCACCTTAGTGTTGCTGTAGCATTCACATGCCTTAAGCTGTTCGAGAAATAACCTAATCATCAATGTCGCACAGAGCGTTGTGGAAACCAACTGACCGGTCGGATACAAACCATTTTTATGGGTGGGATGAACTGGACATTTACGGATAAATTATACGTGCCGTATGAATTTCATGAAATAACAAAACCGAACGTCGATTGCATAACATTATTGGGATGTACGCTTGACTTCCTACTCCCAGTGTCATATGTTGCCCAGGTTCTAAATTAACATGTCGCAAGTGACCGCACCAAGTTGTTGCACCCAAAGACAAGCAATTTCAAAATCAGTAAAAGGCAGTGCAGGTTGACCATGTACGGGGGGAGCAGCACTTTTAGTTCTCTCCAGCAAGGATTGACTTGGTTAAAAAATCAAATCAGGACTATAAAACACCTGAAATAGTAGTAGTCTATATTTCGCTGAAAACCTGACAGTGAATGTGTTAAGAAATAATTGAAGTGATAACTTCAAATCACGCTAATCTCACATTCTTTCAACAAAGGAGGAAGCGAAAATACCTGTCGACAAATGAACGCAGGTTTTTTAGCGTGTTGGAAAAGTAGAAATTCTTATTTGAGTAGGAGGATTTTCTAATTTTCTTGCCTCAAAACAGACAAACCTGAGGCTGAGGGTTGGATATGAAGGTTTGGCGTGCATCACTGCTTACCCAGATGAACTTTTACAATCTAAGCGAAATGTAGAATTAAAAATCCGTGGCTTAACTAAACTAGACTTTTTTGAGAGCGCAGAAATTCAGGGCAAATAAAAATATCACTGCGGTGTAAATGTTTAAATGACAGGACAACGTATTCTGATGGAAATGGAAGCAATGTAATGATGGAAATCATTGTAAAGTGATAAAAACTCACTAAGAGTGTCCAGAACAACACCCTTCGCCATTGCGTAGTCTGCTACGACAGCAGTGGCAAAGGTGACTAAGATTCCAAATAGAACGACATTCACATTTCTCCCTTCGTACACCGTGTATCAAGCCTAAAAGGTAAAAATAGACGAAATTTTAATGATGCCACTGGGGTTTGTGAAACATTCACTGAAACCACATTCAAATACTCATATTTCTGCAATGCTGTAAGGTTTAATAGTTTATATTTAGGAACGGAAAACAGCTCCAACCCCTTTGAATATCACTTAAGATATATGCGTCCACTACCCTAACATCCCATTTATACTGCAAGTGACCGTCAAGGATAATTTTATGCAACTTAATGCAAATTCACAACGCAAAAAGTAAAGCACCCAATAATATAGCGAGGATGAGATAAAAGCACAAAGGTGAAGAGCACAATCGGCATGAGTAGGCTTGAGCCAACTAAGGCCAGCACTTCCGGCTCAATTGTCAAAATCCACTTCCCCTCAAGCTTATTTATTGGAGTATGTGGAAAAGCGCGCTGAAGTGAGCTTACAGATATCAAGATCTGAACCCGGTTTAAAGGCTACAGGCTACATTTTCACTATGTGATTGGAGTACAGGCGAAATCATTGTCCACTTGGTTGTAAACTTAATTTCTCATCACAGGATTGATAAACTAGAGCCTATGGACAAGTGTGAAAAGGCGTGTCAGAACACTAAAAGCATCAATCTAAATAGATACACTTCAAGTTTATTTGAGTATGTGGATAAGTATATTAAATAGAATTCACAAATATCAAGATCTGACCCCAGCCTGAAACCTGTTTAAACAACAGCAACGCCAGCATTCGCGAGAAGTAACTTTCCGCTAAGTGAACTATAAAAAGATCGGACGCACAGTTGTCTGAAAAGGACTAAAAAGTGGACAGAGACTTCCAGTCATATTTCACAGGTCAAACCGGTTAGGCACGTACAATTTACAAATAGATAACACAACAAGG